TCTGCCTTGCGGCGCAGGCACACCGGGTTCTAGTCCCGGTCGGGGCGCCGGATTCTGTCCCGGTTGCCCCTCTTCCAGGCCAGCTCTCTGCTATGGCCAGGGAGTGCAGTGGAGGATGGCCCAGGTGCTTGGGCCCTGCACCCCATGGGAGACCAAGATAAGTACCTGGCTCCTGCCATCGGATCAGCGCGGTGCGCCGGCCGCAGCGTGCTGGCCATGGCAGCCATTGGAGGGTGAACCAACGGCAAAAGGAAGACCTTTCTCTCTCTCTCTCTTTCACTATCCACTCTGCCTGTCAAATAAATAAATAAATAAAAATAAAAAAATAAAAGCTTTCAAAAATATTTTTAAAAAAAGACAAAGCATTCTCCTCTGCTGAGCAGAATCACCAATACTTACTATAAGCATGTCTTCAAGCCTTGTACTCTCAAATAGCAGCCCTAACTTTTCTGTTTTCTCTAGCTCAGGAGGATCTCAAGTCTTTTGTAGCAGGTCCTGTGCTACTGCTGGGTTTCAGACCTAGCTTCTCAAAAGCTAAGAGGAAAATAAATGCCTGCATAATGTGTTTCTACCACAAGTTTGTGATGTCAACTTTGTCTCTCCTCAGATTTTGAAGTAAGAATTAGCTTTGCTTTTTAAAGTGGAGACCCAAATAGTCCTTTCATGGGCCTATTTGCCTCAAGAAGTTGTGACCCTGCTTTCTTTTCAGTAATGGGTTGGCCCATCCTGCACATGGTTGTTAAGCTAGGCACAGGAAAAGGAACCTGGAGGATTGAGCTCTTCTGAGCGAGCCCACCAGGACTGCACTCTGAAGCCATGCCCCTGTAGGTGAAGTGGCCTGACCTCCAGGCAAGCCTGCATTTCTCCTGGTGCTGGATTCTGGAGCCAGGCCTGCATTGCCAGCCCTGCTGTGCCTGCCATTCACTGGCACTGAGGACAGAGGCTCCTGAACCAACCTCAAAGCTGGGTAGAAATTGTTCTGGGGTATGTGGGATCTATTCTGAGTCCCTACCTCCCTTGACTGGATTGTCTCCTTCCCTGCAAACTATATGGCACACAACTCAAGGCTTTCTTTGGATACTTCCCAAAAACACTGAGCTAGCCTTTTTCTTTTTCCTACTTATAAAAGCATTTTTGATATCTGTGACCTTGTCTTCTTTATATAAGCATATCTGTTACATAATGAATATTTTTATCTTCAGTATTTTGCCCAAAGAGGTATTACTGGAATAGGAGATGGCAAAGAATAATAGATGCCACAGCAGTTATCACTTTTGCAATACAGCAGAAATACACGGTACCTGCCCACCCCAGAACAGGACAACACACAGGGCCTGGCAGAGGTTCCACAAGCCATGCCCGACACCCTGACTCACCCATGGACAAGCTTGCTTTCCATGTGCACTAGTCAGGGGATACTGCTGGCAAGACCACAGCCATGCCGCCTGGTTGCCATGACAACATAACTCTTAACGACGTCACTCATATTTTCCCTTTAGTTTCTCCAATGTTTATTCCTTGCAGTCATCTCAACAAGGCATGGATGGGGACAACATGACATATTAGTTAAGACTCACAAAGAAAGGCCCATGAGAGATGTTACTGTATAAATCTCAGAGAGAAGTGCATGAGGATGGGGGTATTGTTATTATAGCGTAAGCCTGGAGGATCAAGTAAACTACAAGCTTATCACTTAATATGACAAAGATACTTTCCCATAGTCTTAGTCCTGCAAAGCCAGAATTGAAAAAATTAAGAAGAAATTAGGAAGAGAGGAAAATAAAAAGGGAAATGAAGGGAGAGCAAAAAAAAAAAAAAAAAAAAAAGATAAAACCTGACACTCTGAAGGAGAGATATTTAAGCAACTCTTGGTTTTCTTTCTTTGTCAGATTTTTCTACAGTATCTTAGTGTCAACCATCCTTCTACTTTGGAGAAGGCAGAATTTTGGAGGTGTGACCTCAGGTTTCCCCCATACCCCAAGGATTTTCTTTAGAAAACTTATACCCATGTCCTGGAGGTCAGAAATATTTTTAAAGTTAAAACATTTTAAAATACATAGAACATAAAACAATAAAACTAAAAATTGATAATTTTAACAATGTAAACATCAATGAAAAATACATGAAGTTTGTAATAAAGAAATAAAAGAAATGTGAAATGGATATTATGTAGACACTAAATTGATAAAAGGAGCTTGATCATGAGTCCTTTGAAATTTGACATTATGTTGGTCTAATCTATAGCATAGTGCCCAGAACACAGCTCAGTAAATATTTACTGATAAACATTAGCTTTTAGACTGTAATAAAAACCAATTTTTTTTATTGGAAAGGAGAAAAAGTTAACAACTTTGGTTAAGAATATAAATATGGGGGCCGGCACTGTGGCATAGCAGGTAAAGCCTCCGCCTGCAGTGCCGGCATCCCATATGGGCCCAGTTTGAGTCCTGGCTGCTCCACTTCTGATTCAGCTCTCTACTATGGCCTGGGAAAGCAATAGAAAATGGCTCAAGTCCTTGGGCCCCTGTACCTGCGTGGGAGACCCAGAAGAAGCTGCTGGCTCCTGGCTTCGGATTGGTGCAGCTCCGGCCGTTGCAGTCAATTGGGGAGTGAACCATTGGATGGACCATCTCTCTCTCTCTGCCTCTCCTTCTCTCTCTGTGTAACTTTGACTTTCAAATAAATAAATCTTTAAAAAAAGATTATAAATAGGGGAAAGCAGAGCATTGAAATAAGGAGAGAATAAGGGAAGGAGAGAGGGGCAATAGGGAGAGATGAAGAAGACGTGAGACAGATGTACCTGCCAGAAATCAAGGAGAAGGAAACAAAGACAAGCATACTGCTGTATCATGGCATGGATCAACCTAAAAGAAACCTGAGCTACTACTTAACAGGGCAGAATATAGCCATAATAAAACCAAACCAAAACTCAACTGAAAAATAAGAGGGGAAAAGAAGAAGATAAAAAGTTCCCTGTTGGTGTTCCTGAAATGTAGGTTTCTAGTGGTGTTCCTGAAATGTAGGTTTCTAGTGGTCTTATTCCGGGGTACTTCCAGTAGCTTGTCTGTAGTGATTCCTGGCTCTAACACCTCTACTATGTGACCTAAGGTAACCTTTCTGGAGGACATGAGGAACTGTAGCTGTACAGTGGAGATGGTAATGCATGCCTCCCAGAGCTGTGCTAAGGACTGTGGGAAACAAAGAATCAAAATCATTTAGCAAAGTGTTGCACATTATGAAAACTTTAGCAAATATTAGTAATTATTTTGTTTTTACACATGCACATGCCATCCACCCATTCAGGCCTGCAGCTGCCTAAATAAACAACAGAGGGCTACAGTGGAACTTATTTTTTGATATATTTAGCCTAGTACATTTTGCTCCATCAGAAATAGACTGCTAACGTTCAGTGCCCTGGCAATCAGTAGTACAGATAAGCTAGCATCACCTGCTGTCCATTTTAAGCTTTTCTTGTTATCTTCAGGTAAAATCATCTATCACATATTAGCATACGGTACTAGTGTTAGGGGCTATTGAGTAATAACAGTGACTGGCTGACACTAGTGCCACCTATTCAGAATATATTATAGTTTTAACGAGGTAGCAGTTATTACTGTCCCCTTCAAACAAGTGCAGAGAACCAATACTGTCTGAAAGGTTTCAGACCTTAGTTCAGTTCTTTCACTTTGACCCTTCCTGATTATTCGGCTGTCAAATTCTTCAAAACTACCACGTTCCTTTCTCTGATTCTTAATTTAGGACAAGAACCGCAATCATTTCTGTTTCTCTTAAAAATACCAGTGCTCTGACCCACTCTACTCTTAGATGATTATGATACACAGTGAAATTAAAAATAAAAAGAAACAAAACCCAAAACACTGCTAGCTGCATCTATCATGAACTGGGGGCTAATAAACAAAGAAAACCAAGAGTTAGCATTCACAGTCCCTGAGAGAATGACTGACACTCTCCTTCAAATAAAGTACTGTATTTTCTTTGCTATTTTGGTTACAGCATTTCCTTTTGCCTCCCCTCTCCCTCCCTTCTCATTTCTTTTTAATTGTTCACTTCTGGCTTCATAAAACTGAAAGGAAGCAGGTCTTTGTGCATTAAATGAAGAGTTTGTAGCTCAGACAATTGGGTTCACTGTAATGTATATTGCAATTTCTTTACCAAAAACGCCTCTCGGTATGTATCCCGACAGATCCACTTCTTCTACCTCCAACTCTAATCCATCTCCACTGACTAACCCACTGCTGAGGCTCAGACATTTGGATTGGGCCTAAAATAATCCACAGACCCTGCTGAAGCTACTGGTGCCTAAATACAAAAGTAACTCAACACAGTTTAAGTGTGGTATAAGAAAAAAGCTTTTCTCTTCTAGGAGCACCACTGGACTCAGAGTTGCGAGAGTGGCTGGAAGCCATCTTGTGTCTACATGGGGCTGCTTGCAGTACAATGAAGCTAATCCCAAAGAAAGCAGAAGTGAGAGATGCAAAGAATCAAAATTTTCCATGACTTCTCTGAAAGTTGAGTCACTGAAGATTACACCAATTCCAAAACCTAATATATCTCTGCCAGGGAAGTCAGTCAGTAAATTCTCTTTTTTAATGTTTTAGTTGGTCTGAGTTTTCTATTAGTTGTGATCAGATGACTCCTGAAATTTCCACTGTACATTTTATAAGGAGGGGAGTACCTACATTTTAAAAAATCATTGAATTAGTTTGGAAAAAGCTAATAGTGTGCTATATGCAACACATTCAATTTTTTTAAATACCCAGTTCTGTCACATTTAGCTGTTACTACCTTACTAAGAAGTGCTATTTGGTTCCAGTTGTTTTTGCAAGAAATGTGGCAAACTGGAAGTGAGCTTATTTTGTAATCACAGGAAACAGCTTTAATAGGCTATAACTGCTATTGCACAGAAGGCAGTTAAGTATGGGTTTAATGTTAGATGAAAGAAAACCTCAGGCAAATAAAATATACAGTAAAACAATGTATCTAATACCGCAATTCTTTTATTGATGTCAGAAAAAAAAATTTTCTTCCTATCACTTGTAAAAGGTATTTGTTTGCTTTATTTAAACTCAATACTTTTTCCCGTTCTTAGTGTAGGTTGAGATTTTCCCCCCTAAAATCTGTGGTTTCTTTCTTCAAATAACATTATCCACCATGGCTGCACCTTAATCTGATGGGTGAGTGGAAATCTATCAACAGGTTTTGACCACGATGGTTCAGGTAATGGCTTCTTTCTTCACAAAGACTCTATTAAAAAAGAAAGGAAGAAAATGAAATGGGATACTCAGATTAACTTTTTAAGTAGTTTTCAAGGAACATTTCTGCTGAAGCTTATCTATAAATGTGAACTGTTTATATAAATAAGAATAGCTTTCAAATAGAATAATGCGGACACCATTACCTAGTTTGTAAATATTATAAAGCAATATATAAAGAAAAAAGCAAAATCAAAAAAAATTTCTCCATTCAGAAATTGTTAAAATACATCTTTGCCATTGTTAGTTATTGCTAGAATGTTGATTGCAGGAATTTGGATTGAATAGTTTCTAATAGAGGAAGCCACTTCTTTAAAAAAAAAAAGAGAGATTTATTCATTTATTTGAAAGGCAGAGTTACGGGGAGAGAGAGACAGAGACAGAGACAGAGACAGAGAGACACAATCTCCCATCCACTGTTTACTCCCCAAATGGCTGCAATGGCCTGGGCTGGGCCAGGCCAAAGCCAGGAGCCTCTTCCGGATCTACCTTGTGGGTGCAAGGGCCGAAGCAATTGGGCCATAGAGGAAGCCACTTCTGTCTCCATCCTGTCTATCCCTAGTTCCCATCAGAGTATCTCTGAACTGGGTTAGTCTGCACAAGCAGTTATTTTGGTCTGTCACTTCCCCTGCCCCTTCTCCACCTTCATTAGGTACTACTCTAGTTGAAACCACTTTGGGTAGTGTCAACAGAAGGTGCTGAGATCAATAATGAGAGACTTGTTTGCTTCTGTTGTATTTCAGTTTTACTGAAAAGAGTACATGATGTGGGACGGAAAAGTCCCCATGGCTGTATATAAACAGGTCATAAGTCTTCCAAAGCAAACAATCTCGTGTTTAGAAAACAAAGAGCTTTGAGTACTATTATCCTTACATGACTCCTGTCCTGTAGCATCAGAGGGTTCCGATCAGCTGTCTTCCTAGTGATCCTCTGCCTTACTTTCATCTGAAACATCTTACAGGGGATACTAGACCAGATTATGAAAAGTAAATATCAACATTTAAAAACATATCTTTTAATGGTATTAAAAACTAGACCTTTGAAAATAAACAAAGTTACTCTACTTATATACCATTTATGCTTAGCTACTGGTTTCAAGATTTCTGGCTGGCCGGCGCCGCGGCTCACTAGGCTAATCCTCTGCCTGCGGCGCCGGCACACCAGGTTCTAGTCTCGGTTGGGGTGCTGGATTCTGTCCCGGTTGCCCCTCTTCCAGGCCAGCTCTCTGCTGTGGCCAGGGAGTGCAGTGGAGGTTGGCCCAAGTACTTGGGTCCTGCACCCCATAGGAGACCAGGATAAGTACCTGGCTCCTGCCATCAGATCAGTGAGGTGCGCCAGCCGCGGCGGCCATTGGAGGGTGAACCAACGGCAAAGGAAGACCTTTCTCTCTGTCTCTCTCTCTCACTGTCCACTCTGCCTGTCAAAAAAAAAAAAAAAAAAGATTTCTGACTAATACATAAAACTGTGAAGATCATTACCAAACAAATAAGAAACTAGATATTAAGTTCAAAGTAAGTCAACATTTATTAAACTGTTGTACACACTGAGCCTTAAATAACTCTATAACACAAGGAAGCATTTTGCTGATTTGCCTTACAAACTCTTCCCACACAAGTCTGCTATATCTCTCTTTTCACAGTCATACAACTCTTAGCCACTCTCCAAGTAGGCCAGCACAGTAGCTTCTTAGTTTTTCTTTTCAATGTCATAAACCATCCTAAACCCAACAGCAATATTTCTTAAGCTTAATCTTGATTTTACCATTATCTTATACAGAAGTTTCTAACAGCAAACATGTCAAATTCAAACTCTGTATCTGAAACCACAGTGCTTCCTTAAGACTAATAATTATTTCTAACACACATTGTTTTTGCTTACACATCCTATTGGAGTTCTTGAGAGCCACAGCAATGCAGTCCACTTCTCTCCTTTTTAAGCTTTTTTCAGCCTTTACAATGCGTATCTGCAGAGGACTCAACCTTACCATGAAGGCTGAGCTTCCAATTCATTTCTCAGGGCTTTGCCTACTAACTGCTATATATTTCCTAGGATTCCAATCATGTCAAAAACCTCTCCAAATGTACAAAGTTTTGATCAGTTTCACTAACCGAAGAATTGTATATAACTTTTCTACCCTGTATCTGCTCATATTTCCAGGCTGTCTGTAACAATTGCAGTTGTGTCCAGGAACTAGAAGTTCAGAGTTTGGAGCTCTGTATCCCTTTATGTCTCAGATCTGATTTGTCACCACTTTTTCTCAGATAGGCCCAAGCCTAATTCACCACATTGCTCTCTGAGATGGCCTTATCTCAACCAGTCCTGATTCAGATATCTCTTGCTTTGTCAGCCGCTGATTCTGTTCTTAGTATCACACTGAAGTACAACTTGATTTTCTCTACACATTGGGGAAGTCAGGGGGAGGGCGATCGTGGGGAAACAGGTAAGATTAAGCCCTTGAAAAAAATCTCTTAGGACAGTGAAAGAATGTACATACTTAAAATTCTTATCAAAACTTCTGGAATTAATAAAAATACTTAATGAACAGCTACTATAGGATTCATTACTCAGTAAATAAAGTACCCAAAATAAAAAACTGTGACTACAAAATTGTTTCTTAAAGTGGTATTAGAAAGCAGCTGAAATATTTCTCATTATCCCAAATAAATTTAGATAACATCTTAGAAAAATTTAAGCATATATTAGAATTCAGGTTTATATTTGATGGAAGTCAAGTGGCTGGCTATAATGTATATATTTTAGATGTTTAAGTTAATGGAAACTAGGAATGAGGAAACAAGAAGAAAACATCTTTTATGTGATGACAACAATACATTCACTTTTATGACAAGAAAAAAGTATAATAATTTTTACTGTAGAATTTCTCCTTCAAAGATAGTATTGCAAAGAGATATTTCATTCTAATTCACAGCCTTTCATAACATACTTCTGGGCTAAATTGAAAAAATAAACATTAAATTTCATCAACCAAGATCACATGTAACTTGCTTATTTATTTTTTTGGGTACATTTTGTAGTGAGAAGTGTTCAAATGACACCACAATGGAACTTCCCTTCAAAATATATTTTATTTATTTACATATATTATATATATATTTATTGAATGTCAAATTTCTGAGTGACATATTTCCCATGTCAATAGTACAATCCAAGGCAAGATTTTGGAAAAGACAAAAGTTTAAACTCAAGAAACACAGGAAGCCATGAAAATTGTAATGTTTTGGTTAACCAGGAACTGATTGCATTTTTAACATGAATAAGCAACACTTAACTCAGGGCTATGGTTTACAATTCTTTTAACAATTTACTTTTTTAAAAAGGAATTGTCTATGGAACCCTAATATATAAATTGTAAGAGAAATGACAGAAGAGTGGAGAGGCCTAGGAGTTCCTCCTGTCAGAAGTACCTTCACTCACTCTCACTGCCTTCTTTCTACATTTAGTTCTGATGGATGCCATCACAATCAACAGGCAGCCCTAAAGAAACCTACAGTCCCCCAGTTCATCCTCAGACAACCACTGCTCTTGAGAAATATAGGCATTGTCAACTTTTGGCTTCTTTTTAAAACCTTGTTTGAAGTAATGTAAAGACCTCAGTAAGCTGGCTGAGAGAGAATCCTCAGTTTTCATTCACTTTTAAGAAAGACACTGGGCTTATTTTAAAAGTGCATGTTCGATTTTGTACAGTGCAAAATGACTGAATGTCCTAACATATACTTAGATCCTGCTTATAAACAGTCAAGGACACTAACTGAAGAACCAGTTCTTGCATGCTACAGGAAAAAGCCCAGAGTCAAAAGTAGCTTTTCTGTGATATGATGGACACAAGTGTTTACTAAAGCACAACGAAAAGCCAATGAAGGCTTGCTTGACAAATCAAAAGTCAACATGCAGTTTCTGCTCTATGCAGACTACTACATAAGAAGCCTAGGATTAGAAAACAGATTATTTTAAAAAAAGTTCTTCACTTAGGACAGTAAAACTAAGAGGGGTTTAAGGGATGAGAGAAAGAGACAGTGACAGTGACAGTGACAGAGAAAGAGAAAGTGACAGACTGTTCACTCCCCAAATGCCTGGGACAGCCAGGGCTAGGCAAGGGCTGGAGCTAGAAGCTCTCAGGGAAATCAATCCAGGTATCCTACACAGGGGACAGGAACCCAATTATTTGAGTCATCACTGCTGACTCATACTATCTGATTTAGCAGGAAGCTGAAGTCAGGAGTTGGGTATCAAACCCAGGCACTCTGATATGAGAGTCTTTACCCCTAGGCTAAACACCTACTGTTAATTTTCAACTAAAGAAGGAAGTTTAAGGATGAGGAAGGAGATGTAAAGTTCCTAGAAAAACCATGTGAAACATATATAATTTTAAATTTTCTAACAGCCACATTCTAAAAAGTGAAAGGCAAAATAATTTTAATAACATTTTACTCAGTATATTCAAAATATCATTTTAACATGTAGTCCACAGAAAATTGTTCAGACTGTTAACCTCTTTTCAAGTAAGTATGAAATTTGGTATGTCTTTCACTTAACCACATCTCAATTCAGACTAGTCATATTTCAGCCACCAATAGCCACAGCTGTTGTAAAAAACTGAGGTGTCACTTAGCATGGGAAAAGTGCAATGTGTAACAGCCTTAGTAGAATGAGTAGCTGAAATGAGGAATTGAAGACAATTTCTAAAAATTTCTCCATGGTCTTAATACCGAGGACACTAAAAATATATATAGTTAAGTCCAAAATAGTCTTTAAAGGTAATATATATCAAAAGTTGTAATGGGAAGACTGATTGCTTTTTACAACATTCAAAACCACTGGGATAATGAGAAGAAAACAAAAATGTTAACAGGGATATAAAAGTATTTCTTTCCAAAAACATATTAAGAAATCAGGCTTTAGTTCATTGGCATAAGATACTGTAGATAGGTCCCATAACTTTGTTATATTTTTACCTCTTCCTGTTCAAGATGGTTTTCAGAGAGCAACTTTCTCTGTGAATTTCTAAGATGAAAGCTTCTGGATCAATAGCATATGGGCCAAAAACTACATTTCATTAAGCAACCATGCTGTCTTAATCCAATTCCCTGAAGATATATGAAACATGGAATTTTTTTTAGTCTCACTTTATTTTTTAAAAAAATTTGTGTATTTATTTGAAAGTCAGAGTTACAGAGAGAGACAGAGAGAGAAAGGGAGTAGGGGAGAAGAGATGGAGAGATTTTTCATCTGTTGGTTCATTGCTACAACAGCCAGCACTGGGCCAGGCTGAAGCCAGGAGCCAGAAGCTTCATCCAGTTCTCCCACATTGGGGTGGCAGGTGTCCAAACACTTGGGCCACGTTCTACTGCTTTTCCCAGGACATTTAGCAGGGAGCTGGATCAGAAGTGGAGCAGCCAGGACTCAAACTGGGGCCATATGGGATGCTAATGTCACAGGCAGCGGCTTTACCTGTTAAGCCACAATGCTGGCCCCGATTATTCTTTAAAAACTACAAATGGAATTGTCATAAGATCTAGCTAGCAGTCCTTTTACTGGGTATATACCCAAAACTCATTACATGTAATACAAAAAAGTATTAAAATTAATAATAAAACACAATCCCACTTATCCAGGTGGGTGTTTTCTAGTTATTTACAGATGACCATAACCTCCAATAGAAGAGGTAGGTATAGAAAGAAAAAGGTTAGAAGCACCATTTGTGGAGGAAATTTGGTGGAAAAGTGATTTGTAACTGTGGTATAATCTCAAATACTTTTCAACTAAATATAGTTTAGAAAATCATTTCCAAGACACATTATTATTAATCACATTTTTCTTTATATGGAAACCACTTCACAATGTTTACCTTTTCACATTAGTTCCGAGCCCGCGGAGGTTGGTAAAACTGCTGGGTTGGTCGAGTGGATCGTCTTGGCTGGCCATCACCTCCTCTACGGAATTCAAGAGTTTGGTCATAGGTACCTTCTTCCTCCTATTTGCAAAGAATAGTGATTTAACATGTTCAAAATAGCTCCAGGTTTCCTGTTACATTCTATGGGCCTCATTTTAATATACCCTCTTAAAGTTGCCCTGAGATTCACATCTATCAACTCTCACAACAGAGGGATGTAAAGTAAAGGGGGGGGGGACGGGGGGAGAGTCAGGGATGTTGTTAAAACTTCATTTGGTCCTTGGTAATAGAAGAATATGATCTATAGTGGTAAGATTACAGTCAAATTTAATTCTAGAAAAGGAAACTTTCAAACAAAATTTATCTCATCAAATCACTTGACAAAAATGTGGTTAAAAACACAGGAAAACAAGCATGATAGTAACAATTTTCTAGAATGTTTGGGCTTCTAAATATTTCTAAGTATTTATCACAGCAAGGAGTTTTGGTAAAATAGAGGGAAAGGGTTGAGGAGCCAGAGAACATCCAACAACTGTCTGTCCTCATCTGATGAAATTTCCAGTATCCTTAAGAACCTTACATGTAGAGGCAGAAAAATAATAATGGATTGGAATGGGGTGGGGTGGGGTGGCAATACAATTTACACATAAAGAAAACTTCATGCAAGATAAAGAGATCACCAGAGTAAGATTCAAACTATTTTATTCTCTTTCTTTTCCTTACTACTGATGGGGTAGATCTACCAATTCAACAGCACAGGACAATTAGGATAAGCAGATTAAACAGCAGAAAGAGTATAGTTAATTATAGTATTTTATTTGAAGAGGACTTACAAGCAACAAAATGTAGCCAGTTTCTTACTGAGTGCTGCCACCCTGATATTTTAATATTTTTAAATTAATGCAGCTATAAATTATGTGCCCTGTTAAAGACACAAAAAAAATGGCTATCCATTTTGTTATGAAAACATAGCATCTTTTTCACTAAATAGAAAGCTTAAATTCCAACTGAATTATGAGTCTGCAATTTACATAATTTTGGAAAATTTATACTATTTTTTCCTTCTCTTCATTTTATCTTTGAGTCTTTTTTCCCAAGGATTCGTTCCTTTGATTCTGTTAATAACAGGAAATTATGTGAAAGACTGAATTCGATTCTTTAAATTTTACAGATCCAACTATTTCAATTGTACCTAATGGAAAAAGAAAGATGTTAAGACCATTTGATCAAATCCTATTACTTAGCAATGGTATTTAATATTTGGGATGACATAACTATTATTATTAGGTATCCTATGTAATATCCTATGTAATACTCATAAGAACAGTTATTTCCCCCTTACATAAAAAACACTAAAACCAGGAAAGTTTTGTGACTTTGCCCTAAAACTTCTAAGACAAATCTGGGTTTTGAATTCAAACACTGCGGTTAAGTCTTTAAATATCAGTCTGCATGTAAAAGAAGATAAGCCAATAGCCAAAAATTAATTATTATCCTCAAAGGCCTATTATGCCTGAGATAAGAAAATGGAAAACCTGACAACAGAGCTGGCATAAATCAACAGTTACCTTTTAGAGAAAAACTTCCAGAAGAGCTTTCCTTTCCCTAAACTCCTTTCATTAACAATCAATCTTAAAACTGTTGGAAGCAATAGACATTATATCTGTAATTTAGTAAAGCAGTCAAAATGCAAGAAGAAAAATATAAAATTATTCAAAAAAGGAGAGAGTTGTTATTCTGGTCACTGTTCTGAATAATTATCAAATATAACAGATAAAATTGAAAAGGAGCTAATAAATTTCTAGAAAAATGATAACATGAAATTTCGCATGTTAACAAGATGAGAATACATTTGGTACGTTAGGAGATGAAGTAATTATTTCAGGAATTAGAATGGAATGTTATTTTTCTCCTCACTTTAGTGCAGAAATGGCTGGAGAACATCTAAAAATTTATATGTTACCAATAAAATATAACATTACAGATAAGACATAGAATTGGTTAAGTGAAATGGATTTACATAAAAAATGACAATGTCATTTGCAAATCTGTCTCTTCTGTGTTTACAATATTCACAGACTGTACTATCCAGAGCAAATTAAATGGTTTTACAGAAATGATCAACCATGAGATTTATTTCACATAATCTTGAGTCTTTACAAAGTTTTTATACAGGTGGAAGTCAGAAAATAAAAATGATACTGACAGTTTGGTTTTCAGTTATTGCTAAAGGCACAATCTGTGCTTTTTAAATTCCTCTTGCAGAACAGCTGAGGGCAAATCCAGTTACCCACAACAACCATTCCTTACAGCAATGAAGGGATACTTTTTTCCCACTTTGTATAACACACAGCTCTATTCAATAGATCAATTTGAGTTACTTTGAAATTTATACCTGGTTCTTTTTCTAGCCTACCTTCCTCCTTTAGGTTCAGTAATCAGTAACAGATTAAAAACTCAAGAAAACCATTTTAATTTCATAGTTCATGAGCCTGTATACATTTTGAAATGCGACACTAACACGGAGCTGGCATATAGTCCTGAAAGGCCATCTAGAGAGCTGGGGGATTTTCTAAGCCACATAGCTCAGTAGAGGAAGAGTCCAGACCAGGTAGCCATTTTGTTTCTGACTCTCAAGCAAGGTTCTTTAAAAGACTTGTAATAACTTTTATAAAATGGGACTACCCAATGTCATCTTCACCTAAGTTTTTGAGATTTAGAATCATTTTATCAGTACTCAAATTTTTCTAAACTCACAGTTTGATCACTGCTTATAGCCCTGGTCTTTAACTCCTGAGGAAGAATGTTTCTTCTGTTTACTACTTGCTGAATTCTTTATTTAGTGGAGGGTTAAGCTTGTGATTATAAAGTAAATTGGAAGTATGTCCGTGCAAAAATTAAAAGAAAACTAAGATAGGAAGGAGGAGGGAGAAAGGGAGGGATGAAGGGATGAGTGGGAAGTATCATTATGTTCTTAAAACTGTATATATGAAATATTTGAAATTAGTTCCTTTTATATAAACAATTATTTTAATTTTTAAAAAGCTAAAGTGTTCAAAATGAGTACTTTTCATGTCAATATTCACTATTCTTCTTTTTTAATTGTTTTCTTTGTATTTTAAATAATGCTAATTAATCCATATTCTTTAAACCATACAGGTCTAGGAAATAATTTCACTGAAAATATGCAAGTGATAAAATTATAAAAGTGACAAAAGAAATATAACCATAAATATCATAAGAAGTCAGGTAGGTAGGTTATAATAGAGGACTAAAAAAAATCATACATGAGGGGCTGGTGCTTTAGCATGGTGGGTAAAGGCACCGCCTATAGTGCTGGCATTCCATATGGGCATTGGTTCAAGTCCCAGCTGCTCCACTTAAGATCCAGCTCTCTGCTAAGGCCTGGGAAAGCTGTGAAGACGGCCCAAGTCCTTTGGCCTCTGCACCCACATGGGAGACCTGGAAGAAGCTCCTGGCTTTTGGTTTTGAATGGGCCCAGCTCCAGCTGTTGCAGCCATCTGGGGAGTGAACCAGCGGATGGAAGACCTCTCTGTCTCTCTGCCTCTGCTTCTCTGTAACTCTGCTTTTCAAATAAATAAACAAATCTTTAGTAAAAAAAAATCGTACATAAGGGTTATAGTTGTAAATTGAAATAACTGGTCAGTGCCGTGGCTCAATAGGCTAATCCTCCGCCTGTGGCGCCGGCACATCAGGTTCTAGTCCTGGTCAGGGCACTGGATTCTGTCCTGGTTGCTCTTCTTCCAGTCCAGCTCTCTGCTGTGGCCCGGGAGGGCAGTGGAGGATGGCCCCAAGTTGGGCCCTGCACCCTCATGGGAGACCAGGAGAAGCACCTGGCTCCTGGCTTTGGATCAGCGCGGTGCGTCGGCTGCGGCGCACCGGCCTCAGGAGCCATTGGGGGGTGAACCAACGGAAAAGGAAGACCTTTCTGTCTCTCTCTCTCACGGTCCACTCTGCCTGTAAAAAACAAAAACAAAAACAAAAACAAACAAACAAACAAACAAAAACAAACAAACTGAAAATTAAAAACTAAAATGCAATAGTCATTGTAGCACGAAGCATGAATGAGGTACCATTTTGAAACAAAATATAAATTAACAGAAGGGAATTAGTATGAGCTCTCAGGACACACCCAGTTTTGGCCTGTGGTTGTTATGATCCACAGCTATTAAAAATTGTATTTGGCCTCTCTAGATCATTCTTCCAGCCTGGGACTACCAAAGTCATTTCCAATGAGGGAACAGACTGACTCTCACTCCCAGCAGCATCAGAACTGTAAACAGAACCCATTCACAAGCTCCCAAGCTACTGGCAGAACGATCTGCTATTGCTCACAGCTGACAGGGACTTTAGAAGGATGTGATTTGGAAGCTGAATTTTTCGTAAACCTGGATTTAGGGAATGAGTCTTACTATTACCTCAATCTGTCTCACAGCAAAAGCAAAGGCTACAGGTTTAAGACCTTCCTCAATAATGGCAGAAGGGAAATACCAATAGTTCTTGTAACTTACATGCTGGTTTCTGTTAGGACCTAGAGTAGTAATTCCAAAACAAGAGGTTATTGAAATTGCTCTGGCAACTTGCTTAAAATGAACATTCTCAGGCCCTATTCCTAAATGTTCCAATTCATGAGATATGGAAATGGCCCAGAACTTTGCATTTTTAACTAACGACTGAGGTGTGTCTGAGTCAGACATAAATATCATAATACACACATAAATACATAAGTTGAGCTAGAAACTTCTCAGAGTTCTTTTGCCTATTTTGTAACTCTTCCCTCATTGTATACTGGTACCATATGATGGTGATAGATATTATCAAAAATGTACAATTTGGGACATGCTCAAGATGACTTGCCCCAAATGGTAGAGTTAGAAACATACCAGGGGACTCCAATTCAATCCCATCAAGGTGGCATGTACCAATGCCATCTCACTTGTCCAAGAGATCAATTTCAGTTCACAATTGCTCATAATGAAAGGACTAAGAGTCAAAGGGAGCACATAAACAAGTCTAGTACCTGCTAATACTAACCGATAGAATAAATAAAGGGGAGAGTG